CCAACGTTTCAGAGGTCATACTGCCTCCGTCATCAGGGCGATTCTTAGTATGAAGATTTCTGTCTTCTGGGTTGTTGCGCTGTGTAGTCTGGTCGATGTTAACCAACGTTTCAGAGGTCATACTGCCTCCGTCATCAGGGACTATTGTCATGACTGGCAAATACAAATGTCATTCGTATGGATGTAAAAATCTGTGATCAGAGATGTCCTCAAGCCAAAGAATAGCATCTTCTGGTATGAAACAATAATGATCTGACTTAAGACGAAAAAGTTGGAAATACTTTATACTTTGATTTATACTTTGACGACCCGTTCTTCAAGTGCCTGAGCACTGCGGGTCCCAACTTTCATTGGCTTTGATCTATAGACATTCGGTACGACTCCTTGGACGAGGGATTGGCCCATCGCAAGGCCTCTACCTGTACACAGGACAGCACAACACAGAAAAATGCAGACATACATCCATGGCTTGAGTGGGATTCGACCCCACGTTCCCAGTGACCAAGCGGCACAAGGCCCACGCCTCAGACCGATCAGCCACTGAGACGGCAAAGTTGGAAATGAACAATAGAAATTAAGAACTCACCTCAACGTAGTCAAAACGACACGGGGGAGAGAATGTGTCTTCCACTTCAAAATCTTGGAAGCAGAGATTCACTACCTGCCCAAGAGGTAGCTCTATTTCATAAATACACACACGGTTTGTGGGGTATGCATTGGGGTAGAATGGAGACTTGATCACTCCAGTGCCCCCACTGAACACACCGCCACATACTGAAACAATACAATTTTAAGTTCACTGTGTACTGCTCTAGATGTTACTACAAGTCAATTATCCAGAATAACCAGTATTTGTATTCCAGATACTCTTTTAGGAAGAGCCACAAAACAACTTTTATGAAATTCTGTAAAAGTTATTTCTGCATTTAAGAAGTTAAAAAAACATTTTGTTTCAACTGAAATGAGCACAGTCATTCTTCCTTTACATATAAATGCACTACATTACAGAGGGCATCATTCATTATGATGATTCATGCCAACCTTGAAAACTGTTAACCTAAGAGATGACAACTAAGTCAATTTTAATATTACCTGACAGAAATAATCTCATAAAATCATAATCCAACAAAATGGATTCAGTTATAAAGAAATTAGTTGTCATGGCCACATGTAATATTACAAAATGGATTTTATTAAGTAAATAAAACAACACTTGCATACTTACTTGATTCATATTTGATGTGGAAGCCTTCAGCACTGGCAGACCAGTCTGACTTGAAACGAATAACGAGCTCATTGCCGATCGATGTGTAAGGACTGGGGAGTTGATTTCCACAGTAGCGTCCCACAGACGGAGCACTAGGGTCCAGGCCTGTTCTGATCTAATGAGATACCCAACAAAGGCTTTCAGACAAATAGTAAGTATTATTACAGTTATTGACACTTCTTGTTTGAAAATGTTATATACAGAATATCCCATCTAACTCTGTAACCTCAAATTACTCATATTTTTTACAAAAAAATGTTTGCCATCTTCTTTCTATTGTGCATTGCCAGTTTCTGACAAATGAGGTCTGAGATCTGTCCACGTGCAGTCGATACAAGAATTGTGCTTGACAAAGTAATACATATTAGAGCAATATTTCTCCAATTTTCCCTGTTTATCGCCTATACATAATGTTCCAGGTCTGCAGTGGCCGCGCGGTATGGGGCGTGGGCCTTGTGCTTCTTGGTCACTGGGACCGTGGGTTCGAATCCCACTCAAGCCATGGATGTATGTCTGCATTTTTCTGTGTTGTGCTGTCCAGTGTACAGGTAGAGGCTTTGCGACAGGCCAATCCCTCGTCCAAGGAGAACTACCAAAATGTCTAAAGATCAAGCCAACGAAAAGTTGGGACCTGCAGTGCTCAGGCACTTGAAGAACGGGTCGTTCCCAGTATCCCCAGTACATAATGTTCCACATCCATCTATCAGAATCCCTGAAACTTGTAATAGACCAGACCAGAATGCATGTAATAACCTGAGTTCTCACTTAATAAAAACAATTTAATATTCAATATGAATTGCAATGATCAAAAACGTTTTCAAAATTTACGCAACTGTTCGTACGCATTGAAAGTAGCTTACAGACGGCAGCATGTGTAAAAAGACTTTCCGAATTAGAAGGCTATGACGTGCTGTTGCAGTCAGCTAAATCAATAATCCTTCTACGTAGCTATTGGCCGATATCAGGGCACACAAACTAACGCACTCTAACGGAGAAATCCCTAAACTGAAAGTTACGTATATCGATTTCATTGGAAGGACCAGGACACAAGCTTTCACATACGTGAGATAGATGTCAGCCGCGGAATTGAAAGTCAGTCGTTATTGATATTTGTCGAGAGACAGTGCACTCTCCGTGATTCAATGTCAGCCTTGGAATTTAGCTAAGAGTTATTCAACTTCTTAACATCAAGTTTTCGTACGTCGGTACTCAAACAAATATGTTCACCGGGATAATAAACAACACTTATTTACTGTGATACATATAAAACTACTGTGTGCTTCGTAAGGTGAACACGAGAGGACGTTCACCCTTCCAGTGACGTATGCAAGATGGAGACAAGTAGAACATTACACTTACGGTCTGATGTACGTGTGCGTGTGAATTGCAGAGATGTGGCATTAAACTCCGTGAATTAACTTTCGAAACAATACGTCTGCACAAAAGTGGAGTGTGTTTCCTATGGTGACAGCCAAATAAATTTCAGATGTGCCTGATATACAGAGGTTGGACATGTCTAAATGTAACATTTGTGTGCATATGTGTACATATATATTTCTGACAATCCGGATCTTTGTAATATCTCGAAACATTTCTAAATAAACTTATGACATGTGTACTAATAATTATTAAGCGTAAGAGGACTTTAAATGTAATGCAACAACCACAATTGCGGAAGAACATGCATAAGTGACGTGAGCCAAGATTCTTTAGAGGTCAACAAGAAGGTAAAAGATGTAATATCTTTGATGTGTAAAGTTATTGTAGTGCCTCAAATATAGGATTGTTCTATATTGTGAGAACATTGAAATATTAGAATCTTTAATATCTAGCAATCGATAATAGAACTCATACGATGCCTCAACGTAGACAAAATGCATCACGTCACTGCGCATCAACTTCCGCGCAGATGCCCCATTAACCTAACCTAACTAACACAACGCAACCCAACAGAGGTATTCTGCTTCAGCTGAACATGGCGCCCTGCGCACGAATTTTCGAAATACAACATGGGTGGTCGGAAATTCCTGAAATTTTATCAGGGCACCGTGCCACAGGTATCTAATAAATATTCATACTCTTTTGTGCCAAAACACTTGTAATAAATTCACACGCAGCCATCAAAGTCGCGAGGTGGAAGGAACGCGTAATCGGCCACCATCAGCAATATCCGACTACTTCAACAAGGTGTTATGCACTCGATATATTTTAAAATAAAATTTAAACATTTGCACTAATAGTACTTAAGCGTAAGAACACCACACATGCATGTCAACAACTACAATTGGGTAAAATCAAGCTTAAGTTACGTGAGTCAAGAGTATATCGAGGTCAATAAGAAAGCAATCAATTAAAATCTTTGAAGTATAAAGCTATAATAGAGGTTCAAAAAGAAGATTGTTCAATAATTTAAAAACACTCATTTATTTGAGTGTTTAATAATTTACAATTAACCATAACGAGATCACATGCGCACGTCATACGACTGCACTGCGCAACAACGTCTGCGCAGCTGCCCCACTAACCTAACCCAAACCAACCAAAACGGGGTAATCTGGATCAGTGCAAAATGGTATATTAATTGCAATGCTTGGTGGGCGCGGAATTCGTGGCGAACGTCAAACATGTGGTAACATATTGGTGTTATATATCAAATGTCAACAAAATATATCGAAAATATTGCCTCACATTTACACGAGGACACGACGTATACACACAAAGACACAGTCTATCGGAAAAATACGGAACCAAAGATAAGACATGCCATCTGTGATGACCTCAATGGAAAGAAATCAATACTTTCGAATGGCATCGAGGACCAATCAGAAGTCAGTCAGTACTGATTCTGTCTTGGAACAGTCGGCT